CCCTACGTACGTTACGTCAAAGGGCGTGACTTCATCAGGGGTGTGGAGACAGGAGCTTAACCGAGCGCATATATTAAGACCAGTTGTCATGGTAGCCAAATACCTCACTTTTATCTATGATATGTGAGTAGCATCCTTTTTTTAATAAAGTCTAGTATCCTTTTAAAACCATCTGCACTACGAGTCTCCACTTTTTATTTTATCTGATGCATGGGCCATTCGGATGAACTGTCTGCTTCCAATTCCTGAGACTGCAAGAGAGTCTGTACCTGAGAGGAGGTAACCCACTGGGAGGTATTCGGCATCAGGTGCTTCCTCTACCTGGTTCGAATTAGAGGAACAGCGCATACAGACCCTGGTGGCTCTCTGCTAAAGGTGAGGTGCATTCCAGAAGATTTCTCTGTTGATGGTCACAGGAGACTAAGTTTATTCTACATCCAATGTTTTATCTTCTTGAAGATCCAGGATCATGGACATTTTTTAACCATTTATTAGTTTCACTGTAGTGCAAGTCACACACATGCGTTTTTCTAGTTGGTATTCTTTGCACATTGCATCACATTGATTCACAGTTAATATTTAGTGCATTTGATTTTTCACTATGGATATTTTGTAGCAATTACATTTACACTAAGGTGCATGTTATATACATGCGTTTCTTCTTTGTTTTGCACTTTTTACACATTGTATCACATTACTCCAAGGTCAGTATCTACTATATCTGACACTTTTGCAGTCTCATTCACACAGCGCGGCTTTTACCATTAATTTCATACGTTATATCTGACCACACAGATTTCAGCTGCTGCTTAACTTGATTAGAGTAGTGGCGCGAGGTTTCACATTATTCACATGTCTATAGGTATTGTCCCTTTTCACTATTAAAAAGAGAACAATGCTTTCACTGTAAATACATTTGAATGAGATGTCAAAAAGTATAAATATCTGTCAGTGGCGGACCTAATAACCAAAGGGCCCTGGTGCAAGATTAATCTGTGTTGTTACAGCCAATAGGAGACCTTTTTTTCCATGGCTGGTATAATTCACTTTTGGGTAATACTATCCTGTTGTCTTATGTTTAAAGAATATTGTTCACATCAAGACAGTCATTCCTTTGGACTTAACCTGTATCCAGACAGTCATTGCAGTAGGAAGTGAAAACTGATTTCTAATTAGATTGTCTGAATTATACCTCATACAGTGACAATGTCACTTGTTCCCAGGAATTTGATGTGATGAACAATAGTTTATTTAACTAATAATGATGCTGATTGTTCTTGGCTGAAAAGTGGCCACTATTGGTTTTAACCAACTGCACTGTAAAAACAAATTTGTTTCTTTAGGTTGTAGCTAGAGGTAAACTGAAACGAAGCTGAAATGGAAAGTTTTTTTTCTAACCTTTTCAAATTTGTATAAACTATTTTATTTTTATATAGAATGCATTAGTGTGTTTTGTATCCAAACTCAAGTGCAACATTTTAATACATTTCAGCTTAATAGTCCTTAGATGTGGTGGCTGCATTACCTTTCTTTTCAAACTCTTTTCCTTTATTTTTACCTGGTCGTTTTGTAGGTAACACAGTTTGTGTATTAGATTGACAATGCTCACTGTACTCTCTGTACAGATGAGCAGTGATGTCACCCTTGGAGAGAAAGTGTGTTTGGACTACAGAACAACTCCCCCTCTCCTCATATCCATAACGGGGGAGGTAGCCTTATTTTACAGAAGTGAACTGTGCAGGGCTGATAGAGCCAGGACCCTCAATGTGAAATATGCACATTACAGCACTAGGTTTAGGCAAGAAAGGAGTTGCAATCATTTTTGTACTTGTTGAACACGTATAACTAAACACTCTCGAAAGTATATTTAACAAATCAAAAGTAAGCAAATAAGAGAAGCTGTCAGGGTGCCAAGAAACCAGACAGAAACTTAAAGTACAGGTTTAAAAAATAAAAGAGTTTATTGAAAACAACAATAAACATAAATGGCAAAAAAACAATGGAGGAAGTCCAGGACGTTGTCAGTGTGAAGCCAGGGGTCAGATGCCAAAGCGGGTAGTCAGCTGAACCAGGTCAGGGAACACTGAGAGCACAACAAATGTAAACAATAGCCTGAGTCAGGAACCAGGAGATCAGTCAGCCAGAGCTAGGGTCATACACGAAAAACAGGAACTACAGATCACTTGGTAGATCTGAACACATGCAAGGGTGGAGACTGAACAGACAAGCTGATGGTTAAATAGTGAACGGGTGTTACATCATCACTATGAGACAGACGTTTGGCAGAAGTTTTGCTAACAGTTGCAGAATGATGATATTTACGGGTATGGTCATAAGAGGACACCAAAGAGGAACAAACAGTGTCAGAAACATTGTACAGAAGACAGGCTGCAGGCAACTGGACACGAAAGGGTAAACAACCCTAAAATAAGCTTATTGTTGAGTTTTACATACACTTTATGTCCTGGTCACACTAATCAGAAAGAAAGGAAATCAGAGAAAATCTTCCCAACAGGGTGAGAGATTGCTATAAAAAAACATGATAATGTGTTTTAACCCTTTCTCTGCCAGCACCCTATCCCTTATGGTGCTGGCTTCGGGCACCTGTAAACAGACTCCCGGTGGCTATAGACTCTAACTGTCAGCTTTACACTGGAAGCTGCTGCCAGATTGCTTCCAGGGGCTGGTTGGAGTCCCCCAACCCCACCCAACACTACCCGCCTTGCTTCCTGTGCTCCACTGCCCCCTGGAACTGGCATCATGGGTGTCGACAGCAAAGGAGAAAGAGAGACCAACGAACATTCGCTTGCCGATCTCCTTTCCACTTCTTGCATCACTTCCAGCTCCTCAACTGTTAATCCCCAGTATCCCCCTAAGAATTTTCATTTCACGCTGAAGAAATAGCAATAAAGATGATATCCTAAAGCTGAATACTGCACGGACAACATATCCTCTAAACTGCCAGCACAGGAATATAAAGCAATAAAAACCCAATAGATCTTCTAACTCACCCCTGCTTGGCTAAAATATTTTTAAGGGGATTTCTTTTCACCTCTTGTCCCTCTGAACCCTTGTCCAAGGAACAAGAATCTCCCCAAAGGCCTAACAAAATGCAATCTAAATCTCCCAGAGGCTCAAACCATTTTCCTACTTTTGGCTGGAGTTAGGCTATAGGGCACTTCCTCCCACAGAAGCTTTTACTTGAAGTTCTTAAACTGCCACTTGCTCCTATATCTGTATATGGACAACAAAACATATACAGGAATCACTGGGGTGCATAAACCAAATGATGATACCAAATTTTTTAAAAATGCTATCCAAAATCAAACAATCCATAGGAGATCGGTTTAATACTGTACCTTTTATTTTTTTTTTCAACTTTTATTTTTTGTTCTATGAAAAGCAAACATTTATAAAATGGAAAGCTGATATTCACAATAATTACTTGCAGATAGATGGATAATTAGCACAGAACTGCAGCAATGTCTGTAGTGATTAAGATAAGATAATTTGTATAATGGCCTAGGCCATATTAACTGATTCATACCCACGTGAAACTGCAATGCTGCAACCCAAAAAATGTCTCTCTGGCAGCATTAGGATTAACAAATAGAGGCAGCCCTTGTGCTAATAATAAGTTAACGTGGTTTTCCACCTCCAGTCTATGAAAATATCTTCATTGTCCATAGAGATAAAAATTACCTTATTAGAAGGCACAATTGTTTATCACTGTTCTGCTTCAACATTCTTTGGGATCCTCCAGGGAATTCTTCCTTGCAGGGTGGTGACATAGGAGTCCAGGCATTTGAGTGTTAAGCTGTGTGCTATAATGAATGAATTAAAATGTTCCTATCATTCTATAAGCAGAGGATCCTTTTGCCCTTTTTTGATAGCTCGCAGTTAGGCATTTAGTGGTTCTGCACCTGCTGTGGAACTACAAGTCTTTATTTATTGGTCTACATGGTATGTCAGTGAATTTAAATGTCTCAAACATATGAAGATCATTAAATGACCCTACTGTGAAAAATTGTTATTAAAAGCTTTGTTACCTGTAAAAGAAGGCAGTAAATACTCCTTTTCCAATGCTCACGCTCCTAAATGCTGCTCCAATGCTCGCAATAATTCCCCAAAGTCATAGGAAATTGATAGATATGTGGTAGTGCTGGACTGGAGGAGGAGCACCAGTTTTGATATAAATCGGAAAAACTAGAGGATGTACTCTTTACTAAGTTAAGCACAATTAACCCAAGTCATCTGTAATTTTTTATTTTTCTTAGAATCATATGGGTCGCTTTGTGATCTTGAAATTGATAGATCTTAGCCAGTGAAAAGTTAGAAATTAGAGATGCACTCATACCGATACTAGTATCGGCATTGGTGCCGATGTCAACTGTTTAGACAAGTACTTGTACTCGCCCAAATGCTCCCGATGCCTATCCCGATACCGGGACTTCCGGGATCAGGAAGCCGGGCAGCGGGTCATTACACGCCCCCCGGCTTCCTGAGTGGCCGCAAGCCGGCTCCATGCTCCCTGATGACGAGGGAGCTTGAAGCTGGCTTCCGGGCCAATCAGGAAGCCGGGGGTCGGGTAATGACTCACCCCCCCAGCTTCACTTGGTGACGAGAAAGCAAGGAGCCGGCTTCCCAGCCAATCAGGGAGCCTGGGTGGCATGTAATGACTTGCCGCCCAGCTTCCTGATTGGTCGGGAAGCTGGCCTATCAGGAAGCCGGGCGGCGAGTCATTACTTTAAAATCTTGAAGACAGCCTTCCCATAAGAGTGATGGCTGGTATAGCAACAAAGGGCATGACAACTCCATTTTATATCTCATAGTTTTGCAATAAAGTGTGCAACAAGCTTATAAAGATGTGATGGTCAGGTGCCCACAAACATTTGGCCATATAATGTGTATAAACACTATGCCATAACTTTACAGTATTGAGCAAAAGGCTTATTAGGATTTGTAGATCAGAGCAGTGCTTTACAGTCAAATATTTCCCCTCTGTGTTAAATGATTGAAATGAATGGCTATAAGTGCACAGTATTGAGTGGTTAACATCAGAGCATCACACTGACTGCCACACAGTTGTTGGTGGGAATTATTTTACGCTTAAAGGTAAACATCTTCTTGAGCTCACTGCGGAAGCGATCATGAAGCCAGGCATACAGGAAGGGGTTGCAGCAAGATGAACTCATAGCGAACCAGTGACAGAGGAGCTGAATTAGCAGGAAATAATGTTTGTTGATGAGGTTGATGTCAATGTCCCTGATGATGTTGAAAACGTGAATGGGAAGCCAACAGATCCCAAAGGCCGTCACCACCAGCACAATTAGCCGGAATATCTTCCTTTTTCGCAGTCTATCAAACTCTGCCTGGCTTTGAGTAGGATGGCCAGGGACCACTCTGTTCTTCAGCTTGACAGTGATGCAAATATATGACAGGGATACTGCAGACAAGGGAAGGATGTAAGTAATGATCAGGGTGCTGTAAGCATAGGCCAGCCTCTCTGTCTCTTTGTCAAACCAAAATTCTTCACAAATGGCGAAACCTTGCTGTTGGAACTCTATGTGGTAGGTATGAGCAATGGCTGGCCCAACCAAGGCAAAGGAAAGGAGCCATATCCCCCCAAGCACATAGATACAGGTCGTCACAGATATTCTTTTCTTTAAAGGATGCACGGTTGCATAGTACCTAGTGAGAAACAAAACAGGACAAATAATTAGTCTTCGAGTAGCTGCAGTGACGGTGCACTTAGATGGGCTTTGAAGTGTTTCTGGTACCTTAATTACTGCTTAGAGTAATTTAGCTTCTACAAAAGAAGGCTTTGCAGTTATGTGCCTCTTTTCACCCACCACACAGCTGTGGCATAATAATGTTGTCTGCAGAGGATGACAGTTATGTCTAATTAATGTTTTGTGCCAATGACTCCCCGATTGAGTAAAGCTTAGCCTTTTTGGATGAGAGTTGAGAAATACTACCCAGAATAAAAGCAGTTGTGGAAGGACAGAATAGGGGGCTTTTATTAATGAATATTGAAAAGATTTAAGGGAATGTATAGTCTTTAGATTAGTTTTTTTAAGATTTAGTCTTTATATTTTCTTATGTTCTAAAAAGAATGTTTTGAATTTTGTTTCTTTATAGCTCAGTAAATAACAAAGCTGAATCCAGGAAAACAGCTAATTACACAGTTTAAATTATTATAATAAGCCAACACATTACAAGTCAAAATGCAGCTGACAAGAGCAAAAATTTTAGTTAACACTCCATGCATCTTGAATTGCCCCCTGCCTCTAATCTTTTGCTTCCTGCCTGTATCAGAAGTAGAACTTTGGACTGTAAATATTTGTTAACTCATTTTAAATTTGAAAATAGAACAGGGCATCACTGTTCTGTTTCAAGAGCCGCTTTATGCTTTGACGTACCCCTCGATCCTTCCATGCAATATGGTCAGCACAATCCAGACAACCTTACTCTCTAATATACCACAGAAGCCTAAATCCAACCTAGTTTTACATTTCAAAGTACATTTACAGAGGATGTTTTATGGTGATTTGAAGTGTAAAAAAACAAAGATCTTCCAAACCTAGTGTTTGCAATTAAGGCTAGCAACAAAATTAAGGAACCTTGGAAGAAACAAGGAGGGTCTATGTAGACTATACCAACGAATACTAAACGGGAGGGGAGGGACAGTGGGAAATACCAAATGTATACACAAAAACAAGTTGTAGCAGCACTAATCTACCACTAGATGTCAGGTGTATACCACAACATAATATATTTAATGGAATACATAGCAGTGTAATAGCAATAGCAGAAAATAACATCAGCTGTGGCAGCACAATGACTACCATAGCTCTAGTTACTCTTTTTTAGTTGTCTATGTTAAATGGGCAACTGAAGATTTTTTTTAGATATACTGTACTGTAAAAAAGATTAGGTTATAGGGACCTTTTATAACCTTTTACAATCATTTTTATAAATTAATTTTAAAAATGTTGTATTTGTATTAATTAGCTATATATATTAGGGATGCACCAATACCATTTTTTTTGTTATCGAGTAAGAGTACTGATATTTATATTTCGGTACTCGCCGATATCGAGTACCGATACTGGTATTTCCGGTACCATTAAGTCGGCTACCCAGGCAATCAGGGAGTCAGGCGGCGTGTCATTACCCACCGCCCGGCTTCTTGATTGCCCGGGAATGACAGCTGGGCAGGCACCACTCTCCAAGCTCTCCCAGATCTGCCCACGTCTCCTGTGTGTACGGCACCCACGTGATTGGCCCTCAGCCTGCTACTCCGCATGCGCAGACTGCCCAGCGCTCTCATTCAGAAATCCTCTAACTGCATCAAGCAGGCGGTACTGGCGGAGTACACACAGGAGACTTGGGCAGATCCTGGAGAGCTTGGAGAGTGGTGTCTGCCCAACTGGCCGAGGGACATCTGTGGTACGGTAATGACTGCTGCTGAAGATCGATATGACGGGAATGAGGAGTCTGCAGGGTGGAAGTTGTGTCACCATTTTATCAGATCTGTTTGGATGGCTCGATGTTGCTTGGCTAAAAAGCCGGCTTCCCGGCCAATCAGCATGGAGCCGGCCAATCAGCATGGAGCCGGCTTCCGGGCTCCATGTTCCCGCGCGGCACTGCCGGTCAGAGGAAATTTCCCTCTGACCGTAAGTTGCAGTATCCGAGCATTTGGGCGCGTACGAGTACTCTCCCAAATACTCGGTATCGGCACTGATACTGATACAAGTATCGGTGCATCCCCAAGATTTACACTGAGTGGCCAGATTATTATGACCACCTGATTTTTGTAGGCAAATTAGCTATAATTTCGCGCTGAAGTTGTTAGAGGGCCAGACCATTATAAATAGGGAAGCAGGTTGTTTACACATATATCTTCAGAAAAAAATCACTTCTACTGTCGTGGTAAAAAACGCGATTTAACAGGCTTTGAACGTGGGATGATTGTTGGCGCTCGGAGCCATGGAGCGAGTATCAGCAAAACAGCAGAATTCGTGAAATGTTTAACTTCTTGCCGTCCGCCCGTAGTAGAAAAACGGACGGACGGCACTGCTGCATTGGCGGGTTGCCGTCGCCAGATGGCATTTTTTTCTGCTCGTGCGCGCCCCCTAGCGGGCACACGCGGGCGGAAAAGACCCGTCCAATGCGAACACCCGGTACCGGGTGTTTCACATATAGGCGATCAGCGGGTCCATAGCCCACATGCTTCAAATCTTCTGGAAAGGTGTCCACAAGGTTTAGGAGTGTGTGACCATTCTTCCAGAAGCGCATTTGTGAGGTCAGGTACTAATGTTGAACGAGAAGGCCGGGCTTGCAGTCTCTGTACTAATTCATCCCAAAAGTATTCTATCGGGTTGAGGTCAGGACCCTGTGCAGGCCAGTCAAGTTCCTCCACCCCAAACTCGCTCCTCCATGTCTTTATGGACCTTGCTTTGTGCGATGGTGCGCAGTCATGTTGGAACAGGTAGGGGCCATCCCCAAACTGTTCCCACAAAGTTGGGAGCATGAAATTGTCCAAAATGTCTTGGGATGCTGATGCCTTAAAGCGTTCCCTTCACTGGAACTAAGGGGCCAAGCCCAACCCCTGAAAAACAACCCCACACCATAATCCCTCCTCCACCAAACTTTACACTTGGCACAATGCAGCCAGGCAAGTACCGTTCTCCAAAAAAAAAAAACCCTCCCGGACGCTCTGGGAGCCTCCCGCTCCCGGCCGCCCAGGAGAGAAACACGGAGCGATATCAGAATAGAAAAAAATTTAAAAACATGTTTTGCCCATTGGAATGCATTGCTAGTTTTTTATTGGCTATTTCAATTTGCAATAGCCAATAGTAAGCTAGCATTGTACCCGCCCTCTACTGATGGACCTGATGGAGAACTGCAGCAGAGGGCGGGTACAATGCTAGTTTACTAATGGCCAATAGGAATCTAGCAATGCATTCCAATGGGCAAATACACGTTTGAGAGCTGTACGGGCTATAGTGAATAGCCCGTACAGCACCCCTTCGGTTCTACTGAACCAAAGGGGTCCTGGGGCCGAAGCTAGCCAAAGGATCGGCCGAAGCTACGGCTGGATCCTTCGGCAGCTTCGTGAATAGACCCCTTAGTCTCAGTGCCAGAAGAAGAGCACTGTATGCAGTATCTGCCATCAATACAACTAGGATTTGTACAGTAAACAGTAGAGATCTGGAATGTAGGATAGATTAGCCATCATTAGAAATAACTTACTATTTTAACCGTAAACAGGTTAACGGTTAGTCCTGCTTATGTACATTTTGTTTCTGACAGAAAAGCATTGTATTTTATTTATTGCAATCATTAAGCTGCCTAATTCAATGAAATGGAAACTGCAGGGCGAGATGAACTTGTTTATAACACATGACATCTTCTTTAATTGTTAATTCATCAGCAATGTAATTATTTCCTTAGACACCCACAGAATTAATTTTAAGGAAACTAGAATGTTTTCTATGAGCCCTAGCGGTGACTAGCAATCAGTTGCAGAAAACGTCAGTCACCGCTATTGGTGTGAACGAGTCCTAAAACATCAAATGTGTAAGTTTAAAAAAAAAGATATTAAAATAAATTGACCCCCAAAATGTTATAGTTTCCCAATAAGTGATGACACTGGTCAGAGTCATAGCTAGCTCCTTTTGCGCCCGAGGCAAGTACAGAAAATTCCCCCCAAGGTTATTTTGAGGAAGGCTGTGGGGGTTCCTGGGTTGGGCTCCTGGATTAATAAATTATTATTAATAATAATTTTTATTTATTTTATAAATTTTTACTTTTTACCACATTTTTATTTTATTATTTTTTACTTTTGATACATTTTGTATTTTACTTTTTAACTTTTTTTTCACTCAAACCATTCTAAAAGGAATTTCAGTATCTTCCATAACTAGGGAATGCAATGCTTTAGTGATCCTTATGGAAGTGGAATTATTTGCTAGAAACATTTATGTCCTGGAATTGCAACAACAACACACTGGAATTAGAACCTCTCATGCATGCCAGGACTATCCTACTTTGACTTTGTGGCTCATCAGGTTCTACCGATTCACAGCATTATTTAAAGCATCCAACTATTTTCATCATTGCCCAGATAGGAGGCCTGTGTGCTTCATTAATTAGACTACCACACATGGGATGTGAAGGCGCAGTTCCAGAGAGCCACATACAGCCTCATTACCCTGGAACTGACTTAAGGTGCCCATACACTGCATGATTCTCGTATGATAATCGCAGGAATTCCCGCGATCGTACGAGAATCGTGCAGTGTGAATGAAGGCGTGCGACCGTTTCTACTGTACGGTTGCACGTCTTTTGTCGAACCAGCATGCTAGAAAACCAGCCGAAAATCTTACGATTTTCGGCTGGTTTAAATGATGCTCGGGAGACAAATGCCGAACGGGCCGGTGTGCGCACGCGCACACTGCCCGTTCAGCATTGCGGTCATCGCAAGTACGATCTGCCTGTCCAAGATGGGCAGATTGCACGTTTTTAAAATGACTTTACAACCATCGCAAGACTATAGTCTTGCGATGGTTGTAAAGTGTATGGCCACCTTAAGTAGATGTTATGGGGCATAGAGGTGAGTTTATTTGTCAGTAGACGAGGACACTTGATCTGCCTCGTTATGCCTTCTAGTTTTTATCCGGTAA